AGGGAAAGAAATTGTTTGCTCTGAACATGCGTAAGTGTGGATAGTGTTGTTGACGATTAACAAACCAGCATATTCTCGGGCAGGCAGGAAGATGGGATATCAGTTTCATCCATAAGGGACCAGAGCCCCTTCATTGATGGGTATGACCTGACCACAGTAACTAAGCTGGCCCATGTAGCTGTTCTGCAGTTTTCAAGTACAGCTACAGCTTGGCAGCAGCTGGGAATATTTGGGCTCCGGCAGAGCAGACCCTACACTTCCCAATGACATTTACATTGCCCAGCGGCTTGCAGGTAGGACTCAAGGAGCACAGGGCATGGGCTGCCTGCGGGAGGTCCCTGCCCTGCAGTAAGGAAGGAAAGACAACAGACAGGCAGCTGACCATAGGAACAGGCCCCTCTATGCACAGGGGTCTTTGTTAAGGGCTACGAGAATGAACACCTTTCCTCTCACTGGGAACAGGAGTTTATTCCATAACCTTACAGGAGTTGAGAATAATTGGAGCCTAAGAAATAAGATTTTGGCCAAAGAGATCCAGCCTCTCGGAGTTAGTGTTTCTGGAGGAGGCACATGTCTGTGGGGAGCCCCTCTGCTGGATGGTATAGCACTTCTTGCAGACATCCAGAGCTGAGGATACTGAACAGCCTACACAGGTCCTCTTGAATCACTACTGTGTCAATGTCAAATGTTTCAGCTGTCCTCACATGTGGGTCTTAGAAGACACCATACACAGGCTTTGATATGGCACTGCCATCCAGAGAGGAGAATTTGCTAGGTCTGCTGGAGCCTTTCCCAAGCTGTCTCCACTTCCTCACAAGAATTTTTTCAGTTCCCACTTGAGGACTGTAGTGTGTACAATGTAGTGTGTACAAGAGGGTGGGCCTTCAAAGGTCAGGAAGGCCTCCGCTGCAAACTCTACAAAATGGCTGAAAAAATGGCTTGCTCATCTTGCTTGTCCACTACCAGTTCCATACCAGAAATGATGAAAAGGTGTGTTATTCCTGTTAATCAGGAGAAGGTTCAACACTAAACACAGGCAAGTGATGGTCAGAGGCAGTAATAAGTCCATCTCCGAGAACTACATAGGGGCCTAATGCTGTTCCTTCTGATGTTATGACAAGGTAAAATGCATGTTCTGAATTTAGCCTGTATTTATAGTGGACTATTAGCAAAATATTCAAGTGTTGAACAATAAAGCAAGCCACAAAAAACAAGCTACCCAAATCCAGATGCCAAAAGTAATTTTGGCATACATAAAACCCAAACAATCCCACAGTAACCAATCATTTTGTACTAGCAGAGAGAGAAGGTATAGAATAAAGGGGAAAAAAGAAGATAGTATCACCCAAACAGAAAGTCT